CTATGGATGAGTTTAGATACATATTCTTTTAGTATTTATTCGAAGGTAGCAGAAAGAGAACGGTTGTGGTTCTTTCCACGGGGGAAAGATCGATGCGCTCGCGGGATATATCCTAGAGGCAGATGGTTTCGATGGTCGTTAGTCGGTCGAGAGCTCTACAGTGAAAACTTTCTCTATCATCGAACATCCAAGTCCTTCTCTCCAGTGAATTCTCCTTTTTTTTCTTTCTTTCTTTTTCTTTTTCTTTTTTTTTTTTTTTTGCTCTTCTATTTTTTTTCTCCTCTATTTTTTTTCTCCTCCCCATCTTTTCATACTCCTACTAAAGTTGGTGCCATGAGGAACGAACGAACGAACGAACGAACGAACGAATGAACGAATGAACGAATGAACGAACTCTGTCACTGTCTCTCTGTCTCTGTGTCTGTCTCTGTTTCTGTCTCATGTACTGATCTTTCTCTCCTTGCCATTTTATCTGTCTATCTAGCAGTGTTCGTTACGTTTTTTAACGATCGACTTTTAAAACAGCGAATGCTCACGAAATTTTTTTTCAACCTTTCCTTGTGTGTCCATTCGAGCCAACAGCGCCACACTATTTTAACGGGCCAACTATTATCAACAATGACCTCGGTGGGGTACGAAAAACGAAAAGTCGATAAACACGGGAAAATATGAAAGACAAAAGAAAGGGAGAGAGAGAGAGAGAGAAAGAGAGAGAAAGAGAGAGACAGAGAGAAAGAGAGAAAGTGATAAGAATAAAGAAAGAGAAAAAGAGAGATATTGAATCATCCTATCGCACGACGAAATTTTCGGAATATCAAACATTGTAAAGCGAGCTTGAACTCTGCTTTATCGCGCGTACATTTCCCCTAATAGTTTAATTTATTACACGAACGAGCCGTTACTGTACAACTTGTAGTATCGTTACGAAGAACAAGCAAAGAGAAATAGAAAGAGAGAAAGAGAGAAAGAAAGAGAGAGAGAGAGAGAGAGAGAAAGAGAATGAATAAGAGAAGGGGAGACGTATAACGCACCCAAGTTAAAACTTTCGTCGTACTTTTTACATTCGTTATCGAGTTTCCGCACGTTGCTTCCGCGCGGCGAAATGCTTCTCGTTCGATATTTAGCATTAACTTTCTTCGTTCGTTTCGTTCTTTGTCCTACGCGGCAGCGACTAATTCAACAAAATATATCGTCGGAAATGTTCTCTTCTTTCTCTCTCTCTCTTTCTTTCTTTCGTAACCAGAGGAAAACCGACGTTACGGCGAAACCGTGTCGGTCGTTCCAAAGCGGCAACGACATAGCGAAAAAAATAAAATTAAAGTACTTTTTGTCCTTCCGTTAAAATAAAAAGAGAGAGAGAGAAAGAGAGAGAGAGACGATGCACCGATAGAGACGGAAAAAAGAAAGAAAAAAATAAAAAAGGAGAGAAAAAGAGAGAGAAAGAGAGAGAAAGAGAGAGAACATTTTCCTCTTGGTTGTCGATGGTGAAACAGAAAGAAAGAGAAAAAGAAAAAGAAAGGGTATAACATCGGGAATAAAGGTAGTACTACTACCATTATAACTACTACTACTACTACTACTATTACTATTACTAATACGACTACTATTACTACTACTATTTCTATTACACTATGGGGTGTATTCGTACGATCGATGAACGGCAAAATATCCGAAGTTGGTTGCTTTTGAGGCCTCGTTAATTCGTCCGAAAAGCCTAGATACGAAAAGTTTGTCCTCCTTTGACGTCCCTGTATGCTTTTATTTTCTTTTCGCTTGCCCACTACTTTTCTATCCTTTATCAATCCACGAAAAATGTATGTACTCTCTCTCTTTCTCTCTCTCTCTCTATCTATCTTTTTATTCCTTTTCATTTTTCTTTCTTCTTCGTCTTCTTCAAGATAGGTAGCTGCATTCATCGAACTACTAACAGAGACTCTCGATATCGTCTTCCTCTGGGCGAAAGAAGAATAGTCGTCCGTGTCGAGCAAGGACCACTTCGTGAAAATGGTAAAAGAAGAAAATCGCGATATATAACGTCGGTATAATCAGATATGGACGCTGAGATAGATCGGTTTTATCGCGGACACGTTAGAGTGTACGAGTTCAGTGAAAAATGTTGTCAAGATTTACGAGCACCATGACGGTTCTTCGAATTTCGTTTGAATCATAAATAAATGTATAACAAAAAAAAAAATATATATATATATATATATATATATATAAACATATATCCTACTACATGTACATGAGAAAAAATGATTGAGAAATAAGAAAGAAACGTAGTGGGAAGGGAAATCATGTACATACATGCATACATACGTAGATCGTATCTCGTAGTCGGTCACTTGAAAAGTTGGAAACATTAAGTTAACCAGGTACGACGATCGAAAGCGACAAAAATGTCGGCTAAAAGGGAATAAATTCGTAGCCGTAACGTCTCGACTATGAAGGACGCATCGTCCTTTAGTGCCGCTTCGTGAATAAGTGGAGCGCGGGATAA